AAATAAAGCTAAAGACAAAATATCAGTATTTATGATTTAAAGTCATTCAAAAGAACATCTAAAAAGATTTTAAAACATTTCACCCCTGTGACCTTGAAAGTCGAACAAGGTCATTGTGTTGTACAAATTGTAAAGCCCTTCATCTCAGGATGCAACTTGCAAAATATCACCACCCTATCCTTTTGTGTTTTGAAATTAGATCATTTAAATGTTTAAACATATTTGACTAAATGTTACCTCGAAAGTGGTACAATGTCATTCAAATGAAAAATAAAGCTACAGGCAAAATATCAGTATTTATTATTAAAAGTCATTCAAAAGAACCCGTTAAAAGATTTAAAAACATTTCATCCCTGTGACCCCGAAAGTCGAACAAGGTCATTATGTTGAACAATTTGTATAGCCCTTCATCTCAGGATGCAACTTGCAAAATATCACCACCCTATCCTTTTGTTTATTGAAAGTAGCTCATTTAAATGTTTACACATATTTGACCAAATTTGACCTTGAAAGTAAATTAAGGTCATTCAAATGAAAAATATTGATAGCCCTTCATCCAAGCATGCTACTGGCTAAATATCAACAGTCTTGGCCTCATGGTTATTCAGAAGAAGTCGTTAAAAGAATTTTAAACAAATTTGCCACTGTGACCTTGAATATAAGTCAAGGTCATTCTCAATAACAAACTTGGTAGCCCTTGTTCCCAGCATACTACTGACCAAATATCAACATTCTATATAGGCCTTATTGATATTCAGAAGAAGTTGTTTAAATATTTTAACATCTGTGACCTCAAGGTCAATAATTTGAACAAACTTTGTAAATTTTTTATGTAGCCCTTTATCCCATCATGTTCTGAACCAAATATCATCATCTTGCGCTTTTTGGTTTTTCAGAAGAAGCTGTTTAAAGATTTTGAATATATTTGACCCCTGTGACATTGAATATGGGTGAAGGTCATTTATTTGAACAAACTTGGTAGCCCATCAACCTAGCATGCTATTGGCCAAATATCAACGGCATGAGCCTTTTTGTTATTCAGAAGAAGTTGTTTAAATATTTTGAACATATTTTATCCCTGTGACCTGAAATATAAGTCAAGGGCATTCATTTAAACAAACTTGGTAGCCATTTATCCTTGTCTGCTACTGACCAAATATCAACATCTTTGGCCTTTTGGTTATTTAGAAGAAGATGTTTATACAATTGACCCCTGTGACCTTGAATATGACTTAAGGTCATTCATTTGAACAAACTTAGGAGCCCTTCATCTCAGTATGCTACTGGCCAAATATCATCACCCGGTGTTGTTTAATTAGAAGAAGTTGTTTTTTAACATAGTTGACCCCTGTGAACTTGAATATGGGCGAAGGTCATTTATTTGAACAAACTTAGTTGCCCTTCATCCCAGCATGCCACTGACCAAATAAAACCATACTGGTCCTTTTGGTTATTCAGAAGAAGTTGTTTAAAGGTTTTTTAAGACAATTGACCCATGTGACCTTGAATATAAGTGAAGGTCATTCATTTGAACAATTTTGTAGCCCTTTATCCCAGCATGCTACTTGCTAAATATCACCACCCTGGGCATTTTGGTTATTTAGAAGAAGTTGTTTAAAGTTTTTTAACATATTTTACCCCTGTGACCTTGAAACTGGGTGAATGTCCTTTGTTTGAACAAACTTGGTAGCCCTTCGTCCCAGTTTGCTTCTGGCCAAATATCATCACCCTAGGCCTTTTGGTTATTAAGAAGAAGTTGTTTAAAAATAAAATATTGACGCCGGACGACGGACAGACGACGGACGCCGCACCACGGAATAAGCCCCCTTGGCCCTTCGGGCCAGGTGAACTAAAAATAATACAGTGTATCTCTACAGTACGGGATGTCCGTAAATAATTATATCTCTACGGTACGGGATGTCCGTAAATTATGTTATGTCTCTTCGGTACGGGAGGTCCATAAAAATATAATACGGTATATCTCTACGGTACGGGATGTCAATGAAAATAATACAGTGTATCTCTACGGTTCGGGATGTCCGTGAATAATTTATATCTCTACGGTACGGGATGTCCATAAAAAAACAATATATCTGTACGGTACGGGATGTCCATAAATAACTTTATGTATCTACGGTTCGAATATCCGTAAATAACTATATCTCTACGATAAGGGATATCCGTAAATAACACATGTCTACGGTACGGGATGTCCGTAAATAATTGATACCCCGCAGTAATGGTTGTTGGTAATATACCCACTTTAGTGACATACCATTTGAATTTCAACCGCAATTTAAAAACATATTTTTTTAAGTTCTTTCAACTCTGAAAGTTTTATTTTGACGGAAATAAGAAAGGAAATTAGAAAACCATTAGAGCATATAAGATTTTATCATCTGAACACTCTGTAGTTTATCATTCACAAACAACATAAGCTAGTGGTGTTTGCCTACATCGGATTTATCAAATAAACAAAATAATGTATTATGTATATCAATAACCCAGAAGCGCCGACCGTCACAGCCACGTCCTTATACGTTGTGTGAACAGGCTTGTTCTATATACCCTTATTTAATCCACACCATCAACAAATCAGATGTTGTATTTGTTAATACGAATAATATTTAAAGGTCTGTAATATCCAAACAATAAATCTAGTGTGTGTCTCACAAGTGTGTATGATATCCCCTACCCAGTCTGAATACCGGCTGGAGCTAGATAGGGAGCCCCACAGAGGTGTCAACACTCGGTGTCAGGTCCCAAATCTCCAATGATAACACTTGTACGGTTCCAAGGCTCTGATCATGAACATACTATGTTAAGTCACATAATTCCCCAAAATCTCACAATTCACACATCGTGTAAAGTCCAACACTCATAATAATTAACACATCGTGTAAAGTCCCACATCACATACAACAAACACATCGTGTAAAGCTCTACACCTCTCACAATGAACACATAGTGTAAAGCCCCAACCCTCTCACAATGAACACATAGTGTAAAGCCCCACACCTCTCACAATGGACACATCGTGTAAAGTCCCACACCACTAACAACGAACACGTCGTGTAAAGCCCCACACCTCTCACAATGAACACATCGTGTAAAGTCCCACACCTCTAACAATGTACACATCGTGTAAAGACCCACACCGCTAACAATGAACACGTCGTGTAAAGCCCCACATCTCTCACAATGAACACATGGTTTAAAGTCACACACCTCTAACAATGAACACGTCGTGTAAAGCTCCACACCTCTCACAATGAACACGTCGTGTAAAGTCCCACACCACTAACAACGAACACATAGTGTAAAGTCCCACACCTCTAACAATGAACATGTCTTGTTAAGTCCCACACCTCTATCAATGAACACACCGTGTAAAGTCCCACGCCTCTAACAACGAACACACCTTGTTAAGTCCGACCCCTCTAACAATAAACACATCGTGTAAAGTCCCACATCTCAACAATGAACTCATCGTGTAAAGTCCCACACCTCCAACAATGAACACATCGTTTAAAGTCCCACATCTCTAACAATGAACACATCGTGTAAAGCTCCAGACCTCTAATAATGTACACATCGTGTAAAGACCCACACCTCTAACAACGAACACATCGTGTAAAGTCCCACACCTCTCACAATGAACACATCGTGTAAAGTCCCACACCTCTAACAACGAACACATCGTGTAAAGTCCCACACCTCTCACAATGAACACATCGTGTAAAGTCCCACACCTCTAACAACGAACACATCGTGTAAAGTCCCACACCTCTAACAATGAACACATCGTGTAAAGTCCCACACCTCTAACAACGAACACATCGTGTAAAGTCCCACACCTCTCACAATGAACACATCGTGTAAAGTCCCACACCTCTAACAACGAACACATCGTGTAAAGTCCCACACCTCTAACAATGAACACATCGTGTAAAGTCCCACACCTCTAACAACGAACACATCGTGTAAAGTCCCACACCTCTAACAATGAACACATCGTGTAAAGTCCCACACCTCTAACAACGAACACATCGTGTAAAGTCCCACACCTCTCACAATGAACACATCGTGTAAAGTCCCACACCTCTAACAACGAACACATCGTGTAAAGTCCCACACCTCTAACAATGAACACATCGTGTAAAGTCCCACACCTCTAACAACGAACACATCGTGTAAAGTCCCACACCTCTCACAATGAACACATCGTGTAAAGTCCCACACCTCTAACAACGAACACGTCGTATAAAGTCCCACATCTCTAACAATGAACACATCGTGTAAAGTCCCACACCTCTAATAATGAACACATCGTGTAAAGTCCCACACCTCTAACAACGAACACGTCGTATAAAGTCCCACACCTCTAATAATGTACACATCGTGTAAAGTCCCGCACCTCGAATAATGTACACATCGTGTAAAGTCCCACACCTCTAACAATGTACACATCGTGTTAAGTCCCACACCTCAAACAATGTACACATCGTGTTAAGTCCGACACCTCTAACAACGAACACGTCGTATAAAGTCCCACATCTCTAACAATGAACACGTCGTGTAAAGTCCCACCTACCAAACAGTGAACATATCTTGTAAGTCACACACACCAACACCAAAGCGTGATAAAGTGGTTGATATTGGTTAATTTGTTCCCATAGCGTTAATACATTATCACATAATTCAAAAACTTTAATACATACGTCAAATCAATGGAACTACATTTTTCAATGATTTTTAACAAACACTGACTCATTTCGTTACAAATACACACTACATTTCTTTTCAATTGCAACGATTCAAAGTTGTTATATTTCAATTGGTAAAGTTGACAATATTTACACGTCTATTGTGTGACGACAGAGTCTACAGCGGGCCCCCCTCACCTGGGAGCTGTATTTAAAACCCACAATGAAATAGTTGAGCGTACAATATAGTAGATGTATGAAGTGATTGATTGATATACAGATCGAACTATTGAACATTGGGTAAAGTCATTTGTCTACTTCTCGGCGCGTTGACGTGCCATCAGTCCGAAGCTCGTAGGGGTATATATTGTCATTGGAGCTATCGGAGAAGTTCTGCCGCGTGAACAAGCATACATAGCCATTCCTAATTATCTATTGTCTCCAGGGATATTTGATTGTAGGTTATACCCACAGTGTGTCTGTAGGTCTGGCCGTCCCCAGTAACAGGCCCACAGGTTTCCGCTATACCTACTGGTCAGATTCAAGTGCAGTTCATTGATTTTCGAAAAGCCTGGCCTCCCGTTTAAATTTCTCGACGATTAGAAATTTGAGACGACACTTGTGAAGTTTTAAATGACCGCGGAGTTAATGGAGCAATTAAAGGGATCAGTGGAAATAGTTAAACACGCGGGCTGTATGTCATGGTTTTAAATATGTCAATATTTAAGTCGAGAATATGACGGATACGCCACGTGTTCGGTGAAAGATCGCATGACTTCAACATAATTTCATATAAAACTTGCGATACTCCTTGTAGTGAATTGTTTTTAGGCACACTTCATGGACTTCACTTTGTATTAAGCTTTCGTTGAGATGAGTTCACGGGTAAGCGTGTGTGAAGTGTCAGTTGTGAACGTCCTCAGATTGTCCCTGTAGTGATGGGCTGAGTGAAGACTGGATTCCCGGAGTACCAGCACCTTTAAGACAATGGAGATGCCTGTGAACCTTGTGAGGTCACATACTCATCACTGGACGTTCCCGAGCACGCCGCGGCACCGTCCTGTGGTCTCCTCCCCAAAGGTCCGGGGGATAGACCTCTGGCACATCATCTCCTACCGTCCACGGGACCGGAAGCGACCCATCATGGTTCCTCCGGTAAATACTCCCGAGAGTCTGAGCCGATCTGAGTCCCGCTCTGACATCAGTTCCCAGAAAGACTCGAGAACCTCACGAAACTCCGGAAAGAGTTCGGCAGGCACTGGGCAACGGATTCCCATCCTCGGACCAACACGGCAGCAAACGGAAATATACTTCAAAAACGTCAGAAGGAGAGAAAGAACAAGTTGTTCGTGAGTATTATTGTTTATTGCCATCCATGTGTAAACCAATATCTTTAACAATATAAGGTGTAACTTGACCACGATGACCTCTCCAGCAGGAGATGACGTCTGCGGTAGGTCGATGATGCGATAGATATAGTAACGCTCTCCTCTACATAACGCTACCTGTCTACCACTTATAACGATAATTCAATAGGAACTAGACTCTCCGCCAACAAAATCCTCAATCTAAGCACACACTTTGTCATAACAAACTTATTTTACAACAATTTGTTGGCCAACCATTGCTAAGGAACACACGGTTAGTGCCATTATAACCTCCGTTTACGATCTAATTAGCCAATACATCGTCTATCTAATCATCGGTGTCATCGCTCCGATATGCTATATCAGATCTGTGCTGACTCTCCATTACATAGTGTCCTAAATCTCTACTGAAAGATGTATAATATCTAAAACTGGCTTATCGGCAATTTTCCGTGTTTCGTCCTAAATCATCGTTCTTTTCCTGGTATAACGATTCTGGGTTGTTCTTCCTTAGATAGTCTCAGATGTGTTAACTTGGTTCTCTGTGCATGGTGTTTAGGGGATTCAATAGTACTGTTTATACACTAATTACATTGTATGTGTAAACTTTGAAATCTATGTTACACAATATTGAATCAAGAGTTGATTTGCATGGTAGAATAAGTAACTTGACGACATTTTATTTTATATCCTGTTAGGACTGTATTAGGACCAGGAGATTTGTCTCCACATCCCTCGTTACAGATTGCGAGGAGTATTAATACACTGCATGTTATATCACACACAGGGACATGATGATTATTCAAGCTATAATTTGACATAAAATAAGGTGTTACGAGTTTATGAGGTTTAGATCAATTTTCTCGTATATATCATCATTGCGGATGACATTTTCACTGAAAGTTGACATAATAGCGGTAAAACGTGTAAAATTACTCTAAACATCTTAGCTTGTGTCCAAATTTAGCTGTACCAAAGTCGCAGGTACCTGTGATATTACACTGTCGCTTTGACTGTTGTTTAATGGCACAACAATGCAGTCTATTCAATGGAAAGATAATTAAAGAGACACTTGACCCGCACAAAGTCCTGTCGTTGCTAACCATATCAGGTTTAAAGAATCTTTCTTTTCACTACTGATAAAAATATGAAGGTATTGCTTGTGATAACATTCCCTGGGAGGAAGTCTCCGGTGGTGACATGGGACCTCGTCAGGTTAATGCGACGCTTGAAACAAGTCCAGGATTTTCAGACTGTAATTTTTTTATGTCTTCCCTTACATATCTCAGTTTGTCGACAACGAAGGAACTATTAAATATCTCAGCTGTTCGACAACGAAGGAACTATTAAATATCTCAGTTTGTCGACAACGAAGGACTATTGAATATATCAGTTTGTCGACAACGAAGGAACTACAAGGTACACACTGAAAATAACACGCATTTACAAATAACGGCAGGTGTACACATTAAAGCAGGTATATGGACACATTACAGCAGGTCTTGTTACACATTACAACAAGTCTAGTGACATATTACAGCAGGTCTAGTTAAACATAACATCAAGTCTTGTTACGCATTACAGCAGGCCTAGACTCACATTACAGCAGGTCTTGTTACATATTACAGCAGGTCTCCTTACACAGTACAGTAGGTCTAGTTACACATTACAGCAGGTCTTGTTGTACATTACAGCAGGTCTGTTTACATATTACAGCAGGTCTTGTTGTACATTACAGCAGGTCTGTTTACATATTACAGCAGGTCTTGTAACATAATACAGGGGGTCTTGTTACGTATTACAGCAGGCCTTGTTTCACATTACATTACATATGATAGCAGTTTTTATCTAGTTACACATTACATTGTGTATGATTACGCTTAAAAGCAGGTTTAGTTACAAATGATAGCGTGTCTGGTTACATATTAAAGCAGGTCTAGTTACATAATAAATGTTGGCTAATTAAATGTTCCCATTTACATTTGACCAGGCTCCGCTTTTTACAATTTACAAATGTAGTTTAATTTCACTAAAGTTACTTATTTTGTGGTGATATACCAGGAATCTAGTCTTGGACGTGGTACAAATTAACTACCTTGAACTACGTGTACCTTCGGGTCTCCCGGAAGACAGAGTCTATTGAGTGTAGTCAGTTTATAATTAAAGTATGTTAACACTCGCAATCAAACATGGGTTGAAGTTATAAGGTTTACAATAAAGCGATATGCCTCCCTAGCACGGCCTGGTAAGGGGCGGAAAGTCAATCTCGTGCTGTCATAGACACGGGATTAGGTGCGCGTTTCAAATTTGAAATGTGCATCATTTCAGGTGCTTTAAGATCGATATTTCCTTTTTCATTAGTGGCATTTTCAACTAGAACTTGGTTGATATTTGAAAACAGAGTGGAGCTAAGTAGTTCAAAGAGCTGTGTGTGAGTTCTCGGGCATTCAGACTTGTGACAAAAATCAAGTGTCCTGACTTTCCAATGATTTGGTAATAAGGGTACAAACGTATGTAGAGGATGCAGTGGCAAAGTGGTTAACGCGTCTGACATTCTGCTACCACTAGCCCTCCACCACTGGGTTGCGGGTTCGCTCGAGACCTACGCGGGGCAGTTGCCAAGTACTCGCCGTATGTCGGTGGTTTTTCTCCGGGAACTCCGGCTTTCCTCCACCACCAAAAACAGTGGCACGTCCTTAAATGACCATATTTGTTACAGGGACGTAAAACACAAACAAACCAAACGTATGTGAAAATAAATACAATACTTAGATACACACGGGCACTGATGACTTCGGCAGACACTTAAATGTAGCCACTAATTGCCGTACTCCGTATGTGAGGACCCTGGGTAACCACACTTAAACACCAACGGACCGTCTTTTATTCCACGGTAAACAAATGTTTCTTTTCACTTTTTTTTATATCAATACTTGAAACGTTTAATAGTAATTCAAATGGATCGAGGTTTCAGCTCAATCATTTGAAGACTAGCTCTTCTTTGTCTGGAAAGGGTATTGGGGTAGCGAGAGATGTAATGATGTTTCAAATGTACAGCGACCCTATTAGACCGGTTTGTATCAAGTTCTTAAAACTTTTGATCGTGAAAAAGTTCCTCAATGTCTGAATGTAAGTAAAAGGAATGTATATCTGAGAGTATTTATGATTACAACGATCGAATATTTCAGCGTATTTCATTGTATCTAAAGTTGCAAAGATTGTATAAGCAGGTTAATAATATAAGTGACTGCGATTGCGGTGTTTTAAGGCGACTCTAGTAGATCGTGTTGCGAGGTTTTGGGTAACTCTGATTGCGAGTTTGTAAGATGACTGATTCCGAGGTTTTGTGTAACTCTGATTGCGAGTTTGTAAGATGACTGATTCCGAGGTTTTGGGTAACTCTGATTGCGAGTTTGTAAGATGACTGATTCCGAGGTTTTGTGTAACTCTGATTGCGAGTTTGTAAGATGACTGATTCCGAGGTTTTGTGTAACTCTGATTGCGAGTTTGTAAGATGACTGATTCCGAGGTTTTGGGTAACTCTGATTGCGAGTTTGTAAGATGACTGATTCCGAGGTTTTGTGTAACTCTGATTGCGAGTTTGTAAGATGACTGATTCCGAGGTTTTGTGTAACTCTGATTGCGAGTTTGTAAGATGACTGATTCCGAGGTTTTGTGTAACTCTGATTGCGAGTTTGTAAGATGACTGATTCCGAGGTTTTGTGTAACTCTGATTGCGAGTTTGTAAGATGACTGATTCCGAGGTTTTGTGTAACTCTGATTGCGAGTTTGTAAGATGACTGATTCCGAGGTTTTGTGTAACTCTGATTGCGAGTTTGTAAGATGACTGATTCCGAGGTTTTGTGTAACTCTGATTGCGAGTTTGTAAGATGACTGATTCCGAGGTTTTGTGTAACTCTGATTGCGAGTTTGTAAGATGACTGATTCCGAGGTTTTGTGTAACTCTGATTGCGAGTTTGTAAGATGACTGATTCCGAGGTTAAGTGTAACTTTGATTGCGAGTTTGTAAGATGACTGATTCCGAGGTTTTGGGTAACTCTGAATGGTGTTAGAGACAATGAGAATTTCACCTGAAGTAACCAGATTTGGTGAATTTGGTGTACAGTGACATCTTGGGATGATGGAATGCAGAGTGCAAGAATGAGGTCACTATATACATATGCTATGACTTGACCTTTGATCTTTACTTTTGAAAATGTTTGTCCGGGGCATTTCTCCTGTATATTTCACCTGAAGTATCCAGATTTGGTGTACAGGGACATATTGGAATGACGGAGTGCAGAGTGTAAGAATTAGGTCACTGCGACCTATGGCTTGACCTTTGACTTTACTTTTGAAAAAAACTGACATAAGTGTACTGTTTGTTAAATATATGAGTATTGCCTTGCAATACTTTGCCTTGTTCACTGTGATCTGGTGTGACTGTTGTGATTTTGTGATACCGTGTAGATTGAGTAAGACTAGTCCTCGGTGATCGTTGTAAGTGAGTGTGGTGTGTTTGTAGAGTGGACGCCGTAACTAATTCCGTTCTGTCTTGTTTTGTACACGAATTACAAGACATTGGCTATAAACTATGTTATATGTTATTTCCCCACACGGTTTATCGGGATTAACCATATGTATATAGGGACATTAATTTTTGGTCCGTTATTATTTCTGATTATAAGAGATAACTGATTGTAATGTTAAATGCTTTATCATTGTACATGAATGGACGTAACATCTGTTAAAGTTGGTCTTGACCATTTACCTTGAGGACGATGTACAGATAGCTTTGTTTACATTCCTTAATGTACGGTAATTGTTTTCATTTATATGGCCAATAACTGAAACAAAGTATTAATACACAGTTATTGTTCGACAAGGATCAATATTATCATCGGACATATAGTATCACATTTCGATTTTTATCATTTTCAAAACAAAGTCTTAAACTTAAAGTAGGCTATTATTTCAGATAA